GCGCCGGGTCAGTGCCCCCACTCTCACTGGCGGGCCCGCTCTTTTTGGCCGCACCGGACAGGCGGCGATGAGATGGTCTGGGACCCCACAGTAGAGGCAAGACCCGGTGCGGACACGGTGGGCCCATTCCTCAGGGGTCAGACGGGCATGCCCTAGTTCCATGGGTTCATCCATAGGTCTCTGGAAGGATGTGTCGGCCCCCCCATACAGGACAGGGCCTGGGCCTAAGAAGGTAGTGCAGATGCAGAACGGGTCAGTGTGGTCGGCTGCTGCCCTGCTCTTTCCGAAAGGAAAGAGCACTGCCGTTTGTCAAACATGATGGCCAAGTCGACTAGGAAGCGGAGGTTAGGGGGCTCGTCTTGGGTACTTAGTTTCGCCATAATGTTGTTGTTAAGGCCGTGCCAGAAGGCCGCGCGCAATGGGTGGTCCTCCCAGCCGGCCTCCGTGGCTAACACCCAGAAATCGACGGAATAGTCAAGGACACGGCGAGCCCCCTGGCGTATTGTCATGAGCTCCCTAGAAGCTTGGCTGACATGTGAAGATGGCGAAAAAACTGACCTGAGTTCATCCATGAATTCTGAGATGGAGGTGCTGATGAAGAGTCCTTGTGAGTCTGCAGCCTCGGCCCAGAGCAGTGCTTTCCCTCGGAGACGGTTAATGATGTAGCTGATTTTCTCTCTGTCAGTGATGTAGGTCCGGGGCTGGTGGTCAAACACCCGGCGGCACTGCAGCAAGAAACCTCGACAACTCTTGACGTTTCCGTTGAAAGTGTCGGGCTCAGGTATGTGTGGGTCTCTGCAGGGACTGGCGGCACAGGTGGCAGCAAGAACCCTCGACAACTCTCTACGTTTCCGTCGAAAGTGTCGGGTTCAGGTATGTGTGGGTCTCTGCGGGGACTGGTGGCACAGGTGGCGGAGCGTGGAGCCTGGGGAAATGTAGCAGAGGAAACGTGTGGAGGTGATAGCATGGCAGAGAGTTTTGCTACCTGTTGAGTGAGTGCTGCGATGTCCTTGTGCTGTTGCTGCAGTGCCTGAGCCATCTGGTACATACGTGCGTCCTGAGATGTCTGAGATGACCAACTGCTTGCACCGGAGCCGGCAGGATACATGCAATGTGCCATTCGCACCTGTCAGTGAACGAACGAGAAAGAGGCGGACCCAGGTAGCCGACTTCGGTGCAAGCAGTGATTTATTATGTACAGTGATGATGAGAGTAACAATACACAGAGGGAAATAGTGCGTAGTCCTGTCGATGAGTAGTAACCGGGTGTTTGACCAACAGCAGGAGG